TGGCTTGTTTACGCTGGACATTGCTTCCCCCCTGGTGGGCGCATCCTCCTCGGATCCTGCATCTACCCAGGTCGTTGCGGCTTGTTCGTGTCGGTCGCTCACTCACCCGTCGCTTCTATGGCACCACTGCCTAGGTCACCCCACACTCCCGCGTCTGCGTTAAATGTCTTAGCACGGTCTCGTCCTAGGCCTCCCTGCGTCGCTCCCTGCCCTCCCTCCCTCGCATGCACCGCCGTGCACACCCTGCGTCGAGGGCCGGCTGCGCCGTGCTCCTCACTCTTCCTCGTTTTGCCCTGCTACCGCTCCACTCTAGACCCTGCACCTGGACGTCTGGGGCCCAACCCCCGTCCCTGGGCTGCATCGAGAGCGCTACTTTCTAGTGCTCGTCGACGACTACACGCGCTACACCACGGTATTTCCCCTAGAGCGGAAGGCCGACATGCCTGGCGTTCTTATCCCATGGGTCGTAGCTACGCGCATCCACCACGGTCTCCCTATGCTGTATCTCCACTCCGACCGTGGAGGCGAGTTCGCCTCCGGTCGGCTTGGACAGTTCTGTCGTGCGGAGGGCATCACCTAGTCGTACACCCTACCGGACTCCCTGCAGCAGAATGGGGTTGTTAAGCGATGCATCGATTTGGTCATGGATGTGGCTCATACCTCCATGATCCATGTCAGTGCACCCCATTTTCTGTGGCCGTTCACCGTTTGCTACGCCGCTCACCAGCTAAACCTGTGGCCGCACTCCCAGCGACCGTAGGTTTCCCGACCCTTCTCTGGACCGCGTTGCCTGGTGACGCGTTCGCGTTCCACGTTTGGAGCTGCCTCGCTCACGTTCGTGCCTCTGGCACGGACAAGCTCACTACCTGCACTGTACCACGCGTCTTCATTGGTTTCCCTCTTGACTCGTCAGACTGGCAGTATTACGACCCGCCGTCTCACCGCTTCTTTCACTCGCGTGACGTCACTTTCGACGAGTCCGTCTCCTTCTATCACCGCTTTCCTCAACGAGGTCTCCCGGTTTCCTTGCCCTTGTTTCTGGTATCCACTCCCCAGTAGCCCCTGCTCCCCTCCCTCCTCGTCTTGCTCTATCTGGTGTGTCTCACGTCATCCCCTCCCGTCGGTCGTCCCGGTCGAGGAGTCCGCTGACTTTGGTGGCCCAACGGCGTGATTTTTGCCGCCTGTTTCTCCCCCGGTGTCCCCTCATCCGCCGTTGCAGCAGCCTTCGCCACCGCAGCAGCAGCCGCAGCCATCGTCGCAGATGCTGCCGCCGCCGCAGCGGAAGCAGCCGTCCGCGAGCTATGGGGGTGCGGGCGTTGAGGAGGGTGGTGGTCCTGGGGGTGCTGGTTCTGGATGTGCTAGTCCTAGGGTTACTATCGTGGCTTGTCCCGGCGGTCTCATGGGTTGCACCGGTGCTGGAGAGGGTTCTCGTTCTAGGGGTGCTGGTGTGGAGTATTCCGGAGGTAGCCGTGGTGTAGTTGGAGGATCTGGTGTTGGCGTGGAGCAGCAGCAGCAGCAGTCGCCACCAGTGTCCGCCCTTCGCCTGCTCGACCTTCCCTCCCCTGCGTGTCTACAACCCTGTGTTTTCTCCGGCAGACTCGTTCCCGGCTCGTTTCCCCCCTCGTTCTCCTCCCGTTACTCCTCCTATGTTTCCTGACCGATGCCTCCGTCCCACTTCTGGTCTCGTCGTCCGTCTCATGCTCGTCCTGTCTCTCCTGTCCAGCGCTCTCACCCGATGTTGCTTCGTTCCCACGCATCTCGTCTTCCCCTCCTCCCCTCGCCTCCTCCGCCGTCGCTCGTTGTCGCTACATTCGTGTCGCTCGTCCTCTTGTCCCGCGGGTCCTTGCCTCCCTCGTTACCGACCCGTCTGTTCCTGTCTCGAGTCTTTACGCTCTTGTCGCTGCTGTCGCAGACTTCGCCTCTACCCGCCGCCATGACTACGCCACAGCTCTTGGTTCTGGCCCTGCCTGCCCTCCGTCCGTCGGGGGTGCTCCTGCCCTTGGCAGTGACGTCCTAGAGGACAGACAGTACGAGCTTGCTTTCCTGTCCGAGGCCGCTCCCCATCTCCGTTCCATGCTGCTAGTTCCTGAGGGTGACCCAGACGCCCTTGACATCCCGACCCCTCGCACTTACGCTGAGGTGACCTTAGGACCCTGGCCTTCTTAGTGGATAGCTTCCATGGAGCAGGAGGTGGCATCTTGGAGATCCACCGGCACCTTCGTCAACGCAATTCCCCCGCCTGGGTGAACGTAGTCGATGGCCGCTGGCTCTTCAAGGTGAAGCGCCCCCCTGCAGAGCCGCATGTGTTCAAGGCGCGCTACGTGGCTAGAGGCTTCAGTCAGCGCGAGGGTGTGGACTTCTTTCATACCTTCGCCCCGACCCCAAAGATGACTACTCTTTGGGCACTGCTACACGTAGCAGCACAGCGTGACTACGAGCTACACTCCTTTGACTTCTCCACAGCGTTTCTTCAGGGCAGTCTACACGAGGAGGTCTACCCTATAGGGTGTTGGCTAATAGCCATTTCCTTTTCAGCTTTGTTTTGTAGCAGTTATGACTGAAATATAACCTAAACCCATGCATACCACCAAACCACTTTCTCAAAGAACGTCATATTTTCCATATATCTCAAGTCATATTATTACGACAGCAAAATTTCATGCTTTTGCGATATTCTCCTACTTCGCTAAAACCACTGCTCACGTTCATACGCACTGTGTATGAACAATTTAGGCAGCAGGCTTTTTAAGGCCTTGCATTTACCACCCAGGCAAGAGCAAGAACGGATGTCGTACCCCTCCAAGCCAGCCTAATAGCCCCATCCTCAAGCAACAACCCAAACCCAAGAGGAAACCTCTTCAACATAGCATGCATAGCCTCTGTCACCGCTCCGGGAATTGGCTTCGGCGAAAACCCGAGCCTGAGCATTCTTCCTCGCCATTGATCCAAGGTTTCGGGCCGGTAAACCCTCTCCACCCCTTCACAGGACACACTATTAATTATTGCCCGCCCGAAATACAGCTCCTCAAAAAGCGAGAGCAGGCGCTTGTCTGCGGCACCGATCAGGGCATCGTGGGAGGAGAAGACGGCGAAATGGTAGTTGAGGGTGTCTTGGAAGCGGGCGAGGAACGGCCGGGCGTTTGTGTCGAGATCTATCTCGACAATCGCGAAGAGAGCCGGTTGTAGGTCGTGAATCCACTGCAGGGAGGGGTCGGATGGGGAAGGGGACGGGGCACATGGGGGCATGGAAGAGACAGAGAGAGAGGGATGAGAGAATGGACCTGCCCATACAAGCAGCACCTGAGGACGGCGAAATGGTAGTTGAGCGTGTGTTGGAAGCGGGCATGGAACGGCCGGGCGTTGGTGTCGAGATCTGTCTCGACAATTGCGAAGAGAGCCGGTTGTAGGTCGTGAATCCACTGCAGAGAGAGGAGGGGGGGGGAGGGGAGGTGAGGGGAGGCGAGGGGAGGGGGTGTGGGGGATATGCATGGCCCACATGGGCGCATGGGGAAGAACGGCCGGGCGTTGTCGTCGAAATTTCACCAATGCAAAGACGGCCGGTTGTAGGTCGTGAATCCACTGGGGAATTGGTGACACGCGGAAAGGGGAAAGGGGGGGTGAGGTGGACAGGTGGGTCGGGACTCGGGAAACAGGGGGTTGGTAGCTTCCCAGGCATTGTTTGTTCGGGATTTGGAGTTGGTGTCGCCCAGTGCCCCAACCCGGGGGGTGGGTCAGGAAGGACGAGGTTGGGAAGGTAGCGCCATGCATTGGTGTTGTGATCCCCTTGTCGGCAAACATGCTGCGCCCTGGTTCGCAACCCTTACAGCCCCTTGGATATGGCATTCAAGGGAGCTATTCACCCTAACTACATGAATCGACGCAGGTTACTCACCCTGAAGATAGTGTCTCTGGGCCCACAATTTATTACAGAATCGCCTGGAGAGTTCAGCAGCTCCAGATGCAGGGGGGCTGGTCACCCTTTGTATAGGGTATTATAGTGGGTACTTACCCTGAGGATAGTGTCTCTGGGCCCACAATTCATTATACAATCGCCTGGAGAGTTCAGCAGCTCCAGATGCGCAACCCATCACCCTAATCATGCAGAAGGCTGGACACCCTTTGTACAGGGTATAATAATGGGTACTTACCCTGAGAATGAAGCCTCTGGGCCCCCGATTCATGACTGAATCGTCAGGGAAGTTAAGGAACTCAAGATGTGCGCACACCACCAGCGTGCCAGTCACTTAAGTATGGGGTTTTACTGAGGATACTTACCCTGAGGATGCAGTCTCTGGGCCCCCGATTCATGACTGAATCGTCAGGGAAGTTGAGGAACTCAAGATGTGCGCACACCACCAGCGTGCCAGTCACTTAAGTATGGGGTTTTACTGAGGGTACTTACCCTGAGGATGCAGTCTCTGGGCCCCCGATTCATGACTGAATCGTCAGGGAAGTTGAGGAACTCAAGATGTGCGCACACCACCAGCGTCTCGCTCCACCGCCGCTTCACCTGAAGGGAGAGGGGTAGGGGTGGGCGGGGGAGAGGGGGGGGGGGGGAGGGAGGGAGGGAGGGAGGGAAAGGTGAGGGAGGGGAGGAAGTCGAGGAAGATGTGCACACACCACCAGCGTCTCGCTCCACCGCTGCTTGACCTGAAGCAAGGAAGGGAGGGGAACGAAAGTGAGAGAGGGAGAGAGGGGAGTTGAGAAGCTCGAGAAGTGCGCACACCACCAGCGCCTCGCTCCACCGGCGCTTGACCTGCGGATGAGTGGCGGAGTGAGGGAGGGAGGGAGGGAGGGAGGGAGGGAGGACAAGAGGGGCGGAGGGGGGCAGGGAGACAGGGAGAGGGAAGTTCGGGATCTCCAGATGAGTGCACACCCCACCAGCGCCTCACTCCTCCGCCGCTTCATCTGAACGGGGAGGGGAATGGGAGGGGGGGGAGGAGGGGGTGAGAGGAGGGGGGGGGGAAGTTGAGGGGGGGAGAGGCCGCAAGGGGGGGAAGAAACACATCACCAGCGCCTCACTTCACCGCCGCTTCACCTGAAGCCAGGAAGGAATGAGGGGGGGGGAAAGTGAGAGAGGTGAGTTTGGAGTCGACTCAAAAGTCGCCAGGAAGGAATGAGGGGGGCGAAAGCGAGAGAGGTGAGTTTTGAGTCGACTCAAAAGTCGCCACGAAGGAATGAGGGGGGCGAAAGCGAGAGAGGGGAAAGTGAAGGAGAGAGGGAAGTTGAGGAGGCGGAGGTGTGCGCACAACACCAGTGTCTCACTCCACAGCAGGTGTAGCTGGTTCCCGTTGATATCAACGCACTGAAACTCAAACGGCACTCCCAGCCGCATAGCCACCCCTAGTCCTAGAGAAGCTTACTCAAGCGAGATAGCTACCTGCTACACCCATCCAGCTCACCTGGTACAGCAGGTGTAGCTGGTTCTCGTTGATATCCACACACTCAAACTCAAAAGGCACTCCCAGGCGCATAGCCACCCCCCTCAGCCTCCTCCCCACTTCTGCCACCGCCCTCAAACTCTTGAAATCCCTCCGCCCTGGGCAAACAAAAGTTGTCGTGTCCAATCCCGTGACGCGGAGGTGCGGCGGACCGCCCGGGCGGGCAGCTAACATTTCCATGATGGTGGGGAGGTGGAAGGGGAGAAGCTCGCCGAAGTCGATGAGGTGCACGTGGGAGGCGGAGGAGACTGCGTCCAGAAACATCCCCGTTATTGCCATGTTGCCGAACGAGGGGTATGGCGTGCTTGTAGCAAACCACGAGCGAGCTTCATCTAGCTCCTGGGAAAGGGGAGGGAGAGGGGAGATATGGGAAAAGGGAGGAGGAGGGGAGGGAAGGGACAGGGGAGGAGGGAACGGAAAAGGGAGGGGGGATTTGGAAATGAAGGATGGCGGTGGGGAGGTGGAAGGGGTGGAGCCCTGAAGTCGATGAGGTGCACGTGGGAGGCGGAGGAGACTGCATCGAGAACTATCCATCCCTGTTTCTGTCATGTTAAAGATGACGGGTAGGGCGTGCTTGTACCGAGCTTCATCAAATTCCTGGGGTTGTTTGTATAGCGGGAGGGGGGCGAGGTGGAGAGGGAAACGTCCCCATTTTTGCTGTGCTTGTAGCGAATCATAAGCGTTTTCCAACTCCTGAGAGGAAAGGGGGCAATCCCTCCGTAGTCACGCTCCCTTGCAGCTTTTTCCTTAGAACAACCCCCGTCCATCATGTGGGGAATCTTTTCTCCATCGCCATCCCCTTGGGACTAGCAACCGAGAGATGGGAATTGCATGGCGTGCAGCATCTCCTCCCCCCCCCACGCCACACTCGCTAGAACAGCCCCCGTCCACCATGTGGTGAATCATTCTCTCGAATCACTCTCTTGAATCACACTCCCAAAATCACACCCTCTATAACCTTACCCTTAACAATCACACCCCCTTTGATCCCACCCTCTACAATCACGCACCTTGGGATTCTTGCGAACGGGCGTGCTGAAATGCTGGTACCCCGTCCCTTGCACTCTCTTGAACAGCCCCTCCACCATGTAGTGAATCACTCTCTCCATCGCCATCCCCTTGGGCCGTGCCAGGGGCTTCAGCTGCAGATACGCCTCCTGGAACTGGGTCTGGGGGAAAGGTGTGGGGGCGGGGGGGGAGGAAAGGGGGGGTGGGGTGATGGTGGGGAGATGATGGGGGGGGGTTGAAGGGGAAGGGTATATGTGAGGGCTCTTGCATAATATCCAACTCCCATGGGTCTCCCCAGGTGTTTCAACTGCAGACACGCCTCCTGGAACTAACGCTGGGAGAGGTGTGGGGGGCAGCGAGACGGGACAAGGAGTCGCAATGGAGACCGGAGAGCTGTATCCTCATAAACTTATCTGGGGACCACAACCTCCCAGCTGCTGCCTCTGTCCTAGGGCCGGCCTAGACCATGGCCCAAACCCCGACCTTAAACCCGAAGCCCTGACTCCAAACCCTAAACCCTGAACAATCTCCAGAGTCGACCTGAGAGACAAGCGGCAAGGCAAACTCACCGTGTCTCTGTTCTCCACTGCTTCAGCCATGGCAGTGAGCTGCCGCCTCATAAACTCCCCAACTCACCATCGCAGGTTCACGGTGTGGGGTGTAGCGCAGGGTCTCTTGGAACTCACCGAGTCTCTGTTCTCCACTGCTTCAGCCATGGCAGTGAGCTGCCGCCTCATAAACTCCTCTGGGGACCGAAACCTCCTGGCAGCCGCCTCTGCCTTCGGCAGCGGCATTTCCCGGGGTGGAGCGAAAACTGAGGGATGCTTGCTAGGGTCCGGCGCTGGCGTTTCCCAAGGTAGGGTAGCAGCACGGGGAGAGACAAGGTGAGATGCTGACATGCCACTCCCAGGCAGGTGGGATGCTGACGTGACACTCCTTGATATGCTAGAGGAAGCAGCGAGGGTGTTTCCTGTAGCAGGGCGCGGAGAGGCAAGGAGAGAGGAAGATGTTACAGATGCTACAGATGCTGCTGCTACAGATGTCTGTGCTTCAGATGTTGCTACAGGTGCTGCTGCTAGGAGAACACCAGCTTCCTTCCTGAAGCTTCCCCTCGTTAGGAGAACACTACCCCCTGCTCTTGTCACATCTAGCACATCAGCAGACTTGATATAATGTTTCCGGCTACTTGAATCGCGGAGGGCAGCATAAGATCCCCTGCTGGACCCAGCAATACCACCACCACCAACAACAGCACCACCACCAGCATCAGCAGCGCCACCACCACCACCGCCACCAGAACCAGCAGCAGCAGCTGCTGCCACAGCAGCAACAGCACCAGCAGCAGCCGCAGCAGTGACACTCCCAGCCTCCACAAAAGAGGACTCCTCAATAAACGGAAACGCCCGCCCATAGCTTTCAAACCCTGTGGCCAGGGAAACAGAAAAACGCCCACTTCCCCCTAAGCCCATCCTTCCCACCTCACCCACCCGTCCTGCGGCTGCTGCTGCTACTGCTGCCGATGCTGGTTGGTTTAGGGAAGCTTGCTTGTTTGTGACTGTATTGAGGGGTTCTTCTGATTGTGACTGTAGGTTGCTGAGTAGGGCTGCGAGGCGGGAGGCTAGGTTGGAGGGTTGGGTGGGGCGTCTGGAGGGCACTACTAGGGCTGTTGATGAGGCTGGCGGGTCCCGCTGCTGCTGCTGCTGCGGCTGCTCGTGGTGTTGTTGTCTTTGCTGCTGCCGCTGCTGCTCCAGCTGCTGCTGCTGTTGCTGTTCCTGCTGCTGCTGCTGCTGCTGCAGCAGCAGCAGTTGCTGCTGCAGCTGCAGAAGCTGAATCTGTCTGAAGTAATCCTGAATAGCAGGCGGAAGCGAAGCGAAATCTGCTGCCTGTGCTGCACCCTCCGCACCCTCTGCATCCCCTCCCTGTGCTGCGCCCCCTCCTGTTGCTGCGCCCCCTCCTGCTGCTGCTTCTAGCACTTCCATCCCTGCCACAGAAGTGGCTGGGGCAGTAGTACAGGTAGAGGCGAAAGCAGCAGCAAGGGGGGAAGCAGGAGCAAGGGGGGAAGCAGCAGCAGCAGGGGAAGCAGAGGGTGGGGAAACACCAGCCTCTGTCACTGGCGCGGCTTCTGCCTGGGGCTGCTGCTTACCATGCATCCTACGGCGCCTTATTTCCTCTGCTACCGCCGCCAACTCATTGCACGTTGCCATTCCTTCGCCCTCCACGCTCACACCTCCTGGCCCCTCACTACTTGTCCCTACACTAGACGGCCCCTCACTGGCTGGCCCCTCTCTAGCTGGCCCCTCACCAGCTGTTCCGACACTAGATGGCCCCTCACTAGCGTCGCTATTGCTACCCGCCTCCAATCCTCTTGCTTCGCCTTCTTCTCTCGCCGCTCCTACTGCTGCTCCTCCTCCTGCTCCTCCTGACTCTCCTCCTCCTGCTCCTCCTGCTCCTCTCCCTTCTTCGGGCCAGAGTAAACCACCCAGATGCAACGCCGCTTCCTCACTCTCCCACCCCAACAAACCCTCCTCACTCGCCCTTACCGCAATCTCGCCCTCACTAGCTCTCTTCGCAATCTCCCCCTCACTCGCTCTCTTAACCATACCTCCCTCACTCACTCCTCTCGCAAACCCTCCCTCTTGTGTTCTCCTCGGTACCACCCTTCTCCCATCCCCTCCCCCTCCGGTACCTCTTCCCCCTCCTTCCCCTCCTCCCCTCCCTGCTCCAACTACTCTGTCCATTAGGCTTATCGCAATAGCTTCCCACTCGTGCTGCTGCTGCTGCTGCTCCTCCTGCTGCTGCTGTTGCGGCTGCGGCTGCTGGCGATGCTGCTGCTGAGGTTGCTGCTGCTGCTGCTGAAAAAAAGGAGCACGCATGGTTTGAGGCTCCTCAAAGCCATCCTGTAACAGTAGATGCTGCTGCTGTTGCTGCTGCCACTGTTGCTGCTGCTGCTGCTGTTGCTGCTGCTGCTGTTGTTGCTGCTGCCACTGTTGCTGCTGCTGCTGCCACTGTTGCTGCTGCTGTTGCTGCAGCTGTTGCTGCTGCCGTTGATTCTGCCACTGTTGCTGCTGGTGTTGCTGCTGCCACTGTTGCTGCTGCTGTTGCTGCTGCTGTTGCTGGGGGAGAAGGGGAGCCTGCATAATCTGGGGCGGCTGAAAAACACCCAGCGAGTGCAGCGTTCGCTGCTGCTGCTGCTGCTGCTGCTGCTGCTGCTGGGGGAAAGCAGGCTGCGAAAGCAATACTCGCTCCGAAAAAAACCCTTCTTCATTCAGGTTGGGCATAACAACTATTTCACTGATACTAGATCGGTTTATTTGAGCGCTTCCTAAACCGCAGCTTCCTCCCAGGATGTCTACAAGATCCCCGCCCAGATTGCCGACCATACAGCCGCCCAGATTGCTGACCAAATCGCCTCCCAGATTTCCCTCCAAATCGCCACCCAGATTGCCGACCAGATTCCCACCCATACTGCTCCCTAGCGCTCCCAAATTTCCATCAGTGCCTACTATCTCCTTCCACCACTGCTGCTCATCTAGCATGCTTGGCTCTCGTGACGGGACTGCGTCTAACGCATATGAAACGCCAGGGTCACCGCCAGAGTGACCGCCAAGCTCCTGCTGCTGCTGCTGCTGCTGCTGCTGCTGCTGCTGCTGCTGCTGCTGCTGCTGCTGCTGCTGCTGCTGCTGCTGCTGCTGCTGCTGCTGCTGCTGCTGCTGCTGCTGCTGCTGCTGCTGCTGCTGCTGCTGCTGCTGCTGCTGCTGCTGCTGCTGCTGCTGCTGCTGCTGCTGCTGCTGCTGCTGCTGCTGCTGCTGCTGCTGCTGCTGCTGCTGCTGCTGCTGCTGCTGCTGCTGCTGCTGCTGCTGCTGCTGCTGCTGCTGCTGCTGCTGCTGCTGCTGCTGCTGCTGCTGCTGCTGCTGCTGCTGCTGCTGCTGCTGCTGCTGCTGCTGCTGCTGCTGCTGCTGCTGCTGCTGCTGCTGCTGCTGCTGCTGCTGCTGCTGCTGCTGCTGCTGGTGGTGGTGGTGAGGCGGCGGCTCCAGCAGTCCCATTGAGCCTCGCTCTGCTCCCCTTCCGGCGCTTCCCCCCTGCTTCTCCGTCTCCTGCCTCCCCTTTGCCCCCTCCTTCCCCTCGTCGGCTCTCCTCTCTTCCTTTTTCCCCTCTTCCTTCTCCCCCTCGTCCTCCTCCCATCCCCTCTTGTTGTCGCCGTCGTCTAGGCCAAACCTTGCCGGCCAATGCCGCCGTGTGACTGGACGGCCGTCCTTTGAGTGCTCCATGCCAAAAGGAGACCTAGATTGCGGCTTGGTAGCAGGGGAAGAGCTTAATAGGTCAACGCTGGAGCTATGGCCGCCGCGTGTGCAGAAGGGCTAACTTGTAATAGCGAAGCCGTGAGGTAGAGTATAAACAGCGAGTATGGGAGGGAGCCCTGGAGTTGTGTTGTGCTCGGTTACGTTCACAAACGGTACTGGAGGGGTAAAAGAGGGAGAAAATGAAATTTGAGGGAGGGGGAGGAATCTGAGGGGAAGCGTGAAGCAGGCAGAGCGACAGTCAGAAGACACTTTTTGAAGATAAATAAATATATGTAAAAAAAAAAAAAAAAAAAAAAAAAAGTCTGGTCAAGAAGAGACGGAAAAGTACTAAACAGGGGGGGGGAGAGCTCCGTGAGTGAGATCCATGGGATATGGGATGGAAGGAGACGCCAGGACAATGGGGGACGACTGGATCCTCTTCGTTAAGAAAAATACGACGCCGCGGCAACGCAATTTTGGAAATTCATGATCTGGCTTACTACGCAGCATGATTCAGTAAATCCGAGGCATTCAATGCAAGTTGTGCATGATATACCAAGGCAGCCTCGTTCATAATAAATTCGTTCATGGCGCATAATCGAGGCAAGTAATTTTTTTAATCATACCAACTCCTGCAAACGCAAAAAAATAGTTCTTTTCCCGTGTGTGATCATGTAAATGTGAGATTTTACCGTAGAGAGTGCCGCCGGCAGTTTTTCTCCGGGCCGTGGTTTCGGGGTCAATTTTTTGGCTGCGAAACTTTCTGCTGCTGCTTTCGGTCTCAGAACTGCGCACGCTCGGCAGGGTCGAGAAGGGAAACTTAAACCCACCAAGTGACTGATCTCAAACTGATCAGTGATCAGACCAACTTCACACTGCAAAATCTCCCCAAAATCAGGATGAAATTAGCGAATATAACCGAAAGTCCCACCGCTGACGAAGCATCAGCTGAAGTAACAGCCTTCTAGCCAAGGCTAGCAAAGCAGGCTGCTTGAAGAAGTCTCTGCTGCTGCTAAGGGATTCTGAAACCAACTGCTGCTCGATGAGTTAGAGAGACTGCAGCAGCAACAGTCGTTGCAGCAGAAGGGTCCTTCCCGCAAGGTGAGAGGCTTGGTTTGGCCGGGAAAGGGTTTCCAAATTCTCCACTTACCCGAGCTTCTGCACTGTACCAGATTCAGACCGATCAGTAAATCACCGCATTACCATTTTTAGGATGTTGAGGGGTCGATCAGCCGTGGCATTGAGGTCGAATGTTGAGGTGGCCTCAACATCTGCCCCCCGGCAGAAAAACAAACTCAAAACCCATTCGGCCCCAGATCAGACAGGCAATCCCCATGCCGAACAAAATCCACCAGCATGACCAGGCCAACAACTGCGCCAGCTTTGCGGGGAAGGGGAAAGCTCCTGGCTGGGTCTGGTCTGGTCGCTCGCATCGCACGCAGATGAAAGTTTGCCCACGCACGCAGAAATGAAACACTTGCAGCGAGTTCTCTCCATAAAATCCCAAACTACAGTATGGCATGTGGTGGTTCCTCGGCTGGTTGGCAGCAGCACGCTCCACGCGCCACGTGTCGTGGATGGCTAGAGTTTCAGGGATAGGACTGTAGGAGCACTGTAGATGAATGTTTGGGAAAGGTGAGTGTCGCGTTTGAGCTGCAGTAGTTGGGCGGGGTAATGGTGACAAAGGTGGGTTTGGCCGTGGCCCCTTAAAGTTCAGATCACGCGATCGAAGAATTTTCACTGTGGGCACACATCTACAGTAAACGTGTTGACAGTTACACCCAGTATTTTTACAGGGCGTTCCACCAAGAGGGTATTCACTCCCCGAAAGCAGCTCCTGAAGACCGGATCCGGATACCCTTGAAAAACAAATTAAACTTGATTTTCTAAAACAAACGTTTACTGCTCCATTTAGTTTTTCTCGAGTCAGGAAACTCGACATCAGCTTAGGCAGTGCTCAAAGTTTTCTTCCGCGTGGAGTCGTCCGCGCTTAGGCCGTAGTAACAAGGGCGTACTGTCTACGCACTCAGAAATGGTCAGGGTAGTAACACAACTTGTTTTGCCGCCCAATTTCACGGTATTTGAATACCACGGGCGAAGTGTAGAAGAAACTGTTTTCATGCACACTCAGGCCCTGAACTGAACCTGCGGAACAGTACAGCACTCAACACTGGGCCCTTGAACACACAAGGCAAATCCTCTGCTGCATTTGCGGGCAGAATGTTTTCCAAGGGCGGCATTGAAGTCCAAAGTGACCGTGCTTCATGGCACAGGTCATGCCACGTATAAACCGTTGTATACATTCAGCTGAGACCACCCATCACCATGGCACATGCTGACAGCAGGTTATCAAGTGCCTGTTGTGGTTTTGAAGTGTTGAGAGAGACGCCGATCTCGGGTAGTAGAACATATTGCCTGTGAATTTCAGGGATGTGACTACATATTCAGTGTAAATATTACAAGAATACTGGTGGCAGGAAGGTTAAACAAGACAGCTCCGAAACGAAATTCCTCGAAAGCGTGTTGATGTAGTGGAAAGTGGGCACACGGAGAGAGTGCTGGTATATTGTGCATTCCCTGCGTAGATCTTAGAATTTCGACGAAGCAAAACAAAAAAAATAAAAAAAAAAATCTGTACAGCTGAGCTGTATTGTTCTGTACGCCACACGTGGCCCAAACGCACTGTTGCTGCGCAGATTCTGGGCCCACCTGCACATGGGGGCACGGGTTGTGCTCGTGTGTGTCGTCGAAGTCCAGGTGAGGTGAGGGGGTGTCCCATCCCAAGCGTACAGGATGTGTTCTCGCTCAAACCCTATCCAACCACTTCAGATTGATCCTTCTGGCCCGGAAGGGGTGTCACCCAACCGCAACCAGAGATACGCTTGGTGGGGAGCCGCTCTGATTGAGGGCGTGGTACAACGACCTAAGTTGCGCAACCTATCGACCCAGCTCCCCAAGCCTCGCCTAGCGCGTGAAGGTTGGGTTGGGCTGGTTTGGGTTAGGTTTTTCCGCCTGTCCGGTTGGGGGTATCGTGTTACTAGGTCCTGTACCACGCCCTGAGTGGTGAAGCAGTGGTCACTGCTCCAGTCAGTCACCTACCAAGGAGTACACCTTTGCTTTTTACAGGATTGTGAATATGGAAAACACGGAAGCAAGGGGAACATGCTTTATACAAAGGTTTTCAAGCTATATACTGATCAAAAGGGAGTCAAATTCAGCAATTCCTAAAACAAAGCCCCTTTGTACCCCAAAGGCAAACAGGAAAATTTTCTATAGAGGAATCTTATAAAGCATGGATGCTCTTCAAAAGCTTCTTATGAGTTGGGAAGTGTGCATTTTGAGGAACACAAAAAAAAAGTACGATGCTCCTCAACTCATCGTCACTTGAATATAGGACATGGATCTTGTGCAATGTACAGGTTTGCAATCCATACAACCCACCCTCCTACTCAAAACTGAATGAATGACAAGAGGGGGAGAGTACAGGTGAATATATCTAAGTGTTGTACCCTCTAAGAGATGATCCTATACGGTCTATACAAACATAAGAGATACACATGTTTGACACACCCCCTAGACTGCATAGGGGTAGGTCCTGAACAAGCAGCTCAATGCGGCACTACTAGTCCAGCCACTGAGACAAGGGTCTACAGACGAGTCAGAAGGAGTACAGGCAAGGCAAGAGCAAGACCAGGGCGGCACTACTAGTCCAGCCACTGAGAGAGGACACAAGTCCAGTCTGAGTACATATAGATATATAGGACAGTACAAGGTCAAGGTCCTAGCAAGTGAGAGGCTCCAGGAACTAGACCGAGCTGTGCACAGTGCCGCTGATGATCTTTAGGCGCAAGCGCCTTCGTAAAGATATCAGCCGTGTTGGCACCGGAGGCCAGGTGTACTACGCGAGCCTGGCGGCGCTGCTGTAGCTCGCGCAGGAGGAAGTACCGCAACTGAATATGCTTCGCTCTGCCCTCGAGTCGAGGCTCTTGACACAGGAGGATCATGGCCCTGTTGTCAGCGTACAGGACCAGGGCAGAGCTAGGCCGCTCATCTAAGTCTGTGAGCAAGAAAGTCAGCCAACGGAGCTCCTGTGCCGCCATGGCACCGGCGTAGATCTCGGCCTCACAGCTGGACTTGGCAACAGACGAGGAGCGGGTAGCTCTCCACGAGACGGCACCTGAACCAAGGCTGAAGCAGTAGCCCTGGGAAGACCTGAGTGTCTCGGCGTCGTCTGCCCAAGAAGCGTCTGTGTGTCCAGTAAGGACCACTGGCCTGCGTCCTCCTAGCACTAACCCCATGCCCGATGTACTTGCAAGATAACGCAAAACCCTCTTAGCGGCAGACCAGTGCTGCGGTCGGTGTCGGCCTATGGCCACAAAGCGAGCCAGGATGCTGTGAGGGTATGCGAGATCAGGGCGAGTGCAGTCATCAGGTACATGAGGCAACCCACCAGCTCAGCGTAAGGACCACTGGGCTCTACAGACTCCTCAGGAACTGGAGCAGAGAGTCTGTGGCCTAGAGGCAGAGGGGTGGGCTGTGCAAAGGAGAACTGAAGGCCGAACCTCTGAAGGACCTAACGCACCAAGTGTGACTGAGTCAAGGTGATGGTGCGCACTGCTCTGTCCCTGGAGATCTGCAAGCCAAGGTAGTGGCGCAGTTCTCCAAGGTCAGTGCAAGTGTGTCTCTTCAGCAGCTCTGCCTTCACTGAGGCCAGTGCGTCCCTGTCTGCTATGGCAAAGACTAGATCGTCCACGTACACAAGGATGTAGAGCGGAGTCTGGCCAACACGAACGAAGAGTGAGGGGTCTGCAGAGGACGGAAAGAACTGCAGGTCAGCAAGCGTAGCACGCAGCGTGTCGTGCCACTCACGGGGAGCCTGCCGCAGGCCGTAGACGGGTCGACGCAGGAACCACTGGGTCCAAGGAGGGAAGGTGCCAATAAAGCCCTGGGGGCGACGCAGGTAGACCTGCTCGTGTAGGCTGCCCTGAAGGAAGGCAGTGGAGAAGTTAAGGGAGTAAAGCTCGTAGTCACGCTGAGCTGCTAGGTGTAGCAGAACCCGAAGAGTAGTCATCTTCGGGGTCGGACCGAAGTCCACCCCCTCACGCTGACTGAAACCTCTAGCCACATAGCGCGCCTTGAACACAGGCAGCTCTCCAAGAGGGCGCTTCACCTTGAAGAGCCAGCGGCCATCGACTACGTTCACCCCAAGCGGGGGAACTGCGTCGACGAAGGTGCCGGTGGATCTCCAAGATGCCATCTCCTACTCCATGGCAGCTATCCACTTGGAGGCCCAGGGTCCCGAGGTCGCCTCAGCGTAAGTGCGAGGGGTCGAGATGTCGAAAGCGTCTGGGTCACCCTTAGGGACTAGCAGCATGGAATAGAGATGGGGAGCAGCCTCGGACAGGAAAGCAAGCTCGAACTGGCGGTCCTCCAGGACGTCACTGCCGAGGGCAGAAGCACCCCCGACAGACAGAGGACAGGCAAGGTCAGAGACCAGAGCGGTGGCGTAGTCAAGGTGGCGTGTAGAGGCGAAGTCAGCGACCGCAGGGACAGGAGATTCAAGACACGAGACCGGAAAAGACGGGTCGGTAACGAGAGAGGCGAGGACCCGAGGAACAAGAGGACGAGCGGCACGAAGGTAGTCAGACAGAGGAGAGAGCGAGGGGGAAGACGAGCGGGGGACGAGTCTGGCGGAGGGAACACAGGACCGTAAACGGGTAGAGGAGGAGACGGGGGGAGAGGAAAGGACGCAGGGTCAGGGGACGGAAGGCCGAGCAGGCGAAGGGCAGACACCGGCGGGGACTGTTGCTGTGGCGGAACAACGCCGACACCGGGACCGCACGCTGCTCCTCGGCTACCACCGGCAGACTCCACTCCAGCACCCCTAGAAGGAACACTCCCAGGGCCCGAAACCCCTCGAGCACCGGTACCACCCCCAGGGCCACCGGGGCTAGCACCCAGTCCAACGCCAGCACCCCCAGAGTCAACGACCCGCTGCTGCACCGGCGGCGGCGGCGGCGGCGGCAGCGACAACGACGGGTGCGGCGGCGGCGGCGGCGGAGGTGACGACGGCTGCAGAGGCAGTGGAGGAGGGGACGCCTGGGGAGGGGCAGCCGGCGAGGACTGCGCCGCAGGGCCACCAGAGTCAGAAGACTCCTCAACCGGGACCACCGACGGAAGAGGGGTGACGTGGGATACACCAGAGGGGGC